GTGACTTTTGTGTGTTTTTGTAGTTTTTTGATAAATTTTTGTTTTCAGAATTTGTATTTTGATAATGCAATATATCCTCTACTTCAAGAACTCCATCAGTTGAAAAAAGGTGTTATGATGAATATGAATAGAGAATCTGTTTGGGTTGTTGTTTTAATTAGGCTAGTAACAGCTGATTTATCACAAATAGTAATAAGTTCAGTTTAGTTTAAACCAACCAAATCATGATATAGAATCAAAGAAAGGTTTAATTTCAAAGATTTTAAAATTTGTTTAAACAAAATTATGGTTTATGAAAAAGAATAGTTTAATTAATATTGTTTAATATTTCAAACTATATTATATTTTACTGTATATAAATTAGATTAATCAAATCAAACTATATATTTTATTTTAGAAGAACGAACTCAGCAATATTAAGAAACAAAACACCTACTACAGATGTCAAAACTGTCTTGTTCTGAAAAATCAGTTAACTAATATCACCTTTGATAGAATACATAGTACACAGTTTCATCATATCATGCAAGAACTTTTTATTGAATTACAAATATTAATAAGCCAAAATGTAACTAAGTTAGAAATTAAAGAGTTTATAAAACATTATGGCCTTCGATCAAAACCAGATATTTTATCAACTTTATTTTGAGACTGTTATTTACAAACTCCTCATGACACCTACTATGCAGTTGTTGGAAAGATTTAAAGATTGTTAGAACGTACTTTTAACTTGTTAAATAAAAATAGGAAAAATTAATTTTTAAAATATTGGAAACATTGCTAATCATCAAAATACAAATTCTGAAAACAAAAATTTATCAAAAAACTACAAAAACACACAAAAGTCACTAAAAACTAAAGCTCAAGCCCTTAAGTAAAGAGGAAGAAGACAGCAAGAAACACTCAATTTCTTAAGAGACTTGAGTAAGAAAAGCAGAAGCAGCAAAAAATAAAAGAAGTCATGAAAAATCATTGATATTTTTTTGCATTTTGTGAACTTTGGAGAATCGGCCTTGACCCTAAATCACAGATCTGTTTTGGTATCATAAGAATTACAATACACAATACAAAGTAAACAAAAGAAATATAGTCAAACCTCCTTATAGTCACCCTCTATATAAGCATATCATATAAAAATTCTCTTTATAATCACATTTATTTTAAAACCAACTATTATAAACATATAGAAAAAAAACCTCTTTATAAACATATCTTAGTAAAATTCTCTTTATAATCACACAAATCTTTATTCCAAGAGGTGTGATTATAGGGAGGTTAGACTATATAACAAAAACCACATACTGTAAATTGCCAAAAATAAGCACTCTCTAAAAATAAGCACACCCTATGATAATCATTAACCTTCAAAAATAAACACCCCCTAGCCGAGATCATCTGTAATTGGTCAATTACTAAAATTTATTCACATATACACTGCAGATATAATCTGATTTTAAACAAATTATTCAGAAGAACTAAATATACTTTTCGCTCTATATGCTGTTAAAATAATCACAACAATAGAGAATATTTATGAAGGTCAGCTATAGAGCATTTTTTAAATTCAGTTGTTACTTATACTATATAAGAATCTTTAAAACAAAAAAAATAGCTTTTTTTGTAGTTAGATCTCTAGTAAGCGAGTTTGTTTTCAAGATGATAGTACATTTAGATTATATTTGTTAGATGAAGCCTGTAGATTTTAATATTGATGAAAATCAAAACTAGATTTAACTTTTATAATCTTCAACCTAATAAGTAAAACTAAAAAACTTGTCAAAACTATTAGAAAATAGATTTGAGTTTCATATACTTTTTACTTGCAGTTATTTATATTCCTTTTAATTTATTTATAGTAAATTAATTTAATTATTAGGCTATACAAATTCAATTGTTTTTTCTAACCTGACCAGGTCAAATTTTGAAAATTTTAGAAATTTTTTTATATGTTTTAATAGTCAGGTAGAATTTTAAAAATTTTTTTAAAAATTTTCAAAAAATAAAAGCCAGCTGGCCAGGTCATTTTTAAAATTTTATGTTAAAAGAAACAAAAAATTAATTTTGTATAGCTTTATATTTCTTGTTATTATTTATTGTTAGCAATTTAGTTTGATACAAA